GCTAGGGTTGTTAAATTAGAAAGCAGAGAGGACAGGGGCTCAACCCTGCCTCATTATGTTCATAACTACTCAGCTGTCTTAAAACAGGAGCCCACGTCTCATCCTAAGTCTCATATTTAGAAAGTATTGCCAGTGTGTTGGAAAACAATGGCTTTATAAAGCCAGGAAATAAAAGGTGAACTGCAATTTTTAGTGTTCTAATATTGTGCTTATTCACTGCATTTGAGAATATAAAATATTTACTTAGGAATAAATCAGCACCTCTGTTCAAGGTTCTTTGAGTACCAGTTATTGAATGGGAGGAGGGGAAGACGACTTCGCGGCATTCAATCAGCAACAAGTACTTTCCATCTTCCCTTGCTGTGTACTAGGAACAAGTCCAAGCTTTGCAGATCTCTGTGAACTCTCCTTCCACAGGTAGAATGAAGAGGCCATATTTTTATGAGGAATCTTAAAGCATACGTGTCTTAGTGTGGCATAATCCCCCGTCAACCGTAACACATATTTATTGACAGCTTAGATATTAATTCAACTTGACTGTGTCTTATTTTGAAAGATTTGAGGCATTTATTTGGCTAAGTGATTCACTGTTTCTACTGAATAAGCAAAAGTTGGTGCCCTGGTTTGCTGGAAAGTTACAAAATCCCCCAATCACAGGGAATGGGACTTCTTCGCATGCTCACTTCAGCTGCCATTACCTTTGAAAATAACAAGGACTGCATAGTTTCTGTGAAAAGCTGTAGAATGTCAGCTGAACAGTCACACACATCATGGGGACAGTTTTACCTCATGCTTCATCATGGGCTCAAATTTGGGATTTAGGGCTAGACGTTGACACCTGTCTTAGGATGCCTAGTCTATTACATCTGCCGCAGGAACTTCTCAGGTAGCTGCTTTACTTTGAATGCTTTCGAATAATGTACAAAGAACAAGGAAACACACAACAACCCTGTTTTCCATGTGTAATGGCTCACTGTCTCCGTGGTCTCATCCACATGATCAGCTACACCAGTACTTCAGGCATGCGGCCTTCACCACCATTGCAGGGAGCCCTGACTATCTGTCAACTGCTTTGCAGTTCTGGCTAATATGTGAAACAGATTATATTCCACAGATTAGTACTTGCTTAAACTTAATAGACTCCTGATAAATTTTAAGTAACAATATTGAGTTAGAAGAGACCTGCTGTACAGATAAGTAATAAAAAATATGTAAGGCTGAGATATTGGATATTAGGGTAAGGTTGAACATTGAGATCAGAGTCATTAATTCTTTGAGAACAGATGGAACACGGATAATTGAGGGAAAAGATGAATAAAATATTGATGATAGGTATTTTTACCTTTGTGTTATTATATAGTATTTTTTATTTATTTATCTTTTGGTTTTTCAAGACGGGGTTTTTTCTGTATTCATTTGGAGTCTGTCCTGGCACTAACTCTTGTAGACCCAAGCTGCCCTTGAATTCACAGAGATCCGCCTGCCTCTGCCTCTTGAGTGCTGGTATTAAAAGTGTGCACCACCACCACCTGGATATAGTACGCATTTTAAAAATGAAGCTGATTGAAATTTTTGTTTTGGAAGCATTCACCTGTTTTGTTTTTCTCTTAAAGTTTCCTGTCTTTCAAAAAAAAATAAAATAAAATAAAAAAAAAGTTTCCTGTCTTTCAAAAGCTTGCAAAGGACCTCAGTGAACACAACCTCATTTATAATCCATCTGTTCCACGGGTAAAGGTAAGTTGGTCGGCTACAAATGAGTATTCCCAATTCATGAATTTATTTATTTAACCTGCATGGTCTTTGCTATCCTAACAAAGGGAACGGTCCTAACTCAAGGGAAAAGATGGATCCTGAGTAAAAAGGTTGTGCAGCGGTGATCATCTAACATGGATGGAGAGCCAGCTGTGCATACAGGCGGACACACTGCACCTGAAGCACATCCTCCAGGTCACACCTTAGAAGTCTAGAGGCTCACGAACCCTTTGAGAAGTCCTGGTACAACCAACGTTTGGGGAACTCTGGTCTAGGAGAGTCTGTGGTAGTTAGAAGTGGCTTTAGTAAGAGAATGGCAGAAAACAGAGATGTTTTCCAGCCCATCATTTAACCAATGGTAGTTTCTTCTTAATGGGAACTCATTTGCTTCACACATGATGTCTACTCACAATAAGTCCTCATATGTATTCATTTCTTTTATTTCACATTATGTATTTACTATCAGAGAAAGACTCATATAGTGGCATTACAGTATTGGTTTCTAAAGTCACATATTAATGCAAATCATAAGCCTATAGACTCTTCACAAAGGAACATGAGCTATCAGCATAATGCCACTTTGTCATGTGGTTACTGCAAGCTGGAGTTCAAATGTCTCCTGGCTTTGTGTCTTGACAGTACAGATATATGGCTGCAAGCTCAGTGAGTGGATCTGAGTCCATGTCTAGCTAGCCTTAGTGCACAATTGAGGCCCATGAAGGAAACCAGCTAGATACAGATGACTTATTAAAATCTCAAATACAAACACATAAAGACGTATAAACTTGGCATGACATATAAGCTGCTTCCACATCTCCTGGTAGAGGTCATAAAGCAGAAAACCATAGAAACTTCAGAAAAATTGACCAAAATTAAAACCACCACGGAGAAAATCAGCTGTACTATAACAGGTGTACAGTGGGGAAGCGACATCATGCATACATGTGTATACATGTGTGTGTGTGTGCAAATGCACACGCACACTTACTCTTTGAACAATTACAAACTCACTCAGCAAGTTAGTCTTCATCAGTTAATAGACCCAGATTATCCATGTAGCATTTTTATTAATGTGAGCTCAAACTAAAATATACTTAGTAGCATTAACAACGTTGAAAAGAATTAAGGCCGTGATATTTTCCTGTTCTTTCATGTCTAAGAGGCTGTACTTCACAGAGCACTTTCTTTTGATGACTTATCTTCTTAGTTTCTATGTGACTATTATATTTTTATGTTTTCCCTTCCAATCAAAGTCACCGCCAGCATCAAACACATTCATGCAAACACAAAGGCAAGGTGTATCAAGGTTGTAGTTTCTCTGCCACCTCCTTACTACATAAAAAGTTGGCCATATTATCAACTCATCTCCCTGATAGTCCTACATAATTTTATTAAAAATTTTGTCATTGCTCGATATTTTATATGCCTCCCAAGAACACTGTTTAGTCTTTAGAGAAATCCCAAACTGATGACAAAGCACAATTAGGACTATGTTTGTGCTCAGTTTCCCATAGAATCATTCAAATCGCCCTCTTTTCTCCCCTGTTATCAAAACTCTCCTGAAAATGCATTACTATATTTAACGATAACACAGGAGACAAGTGTTTCCTATCCAAATGAGAGGAGATATTTTATATCAAAATACCTGGGCACTTGGAATGGTTTTAAATAAAGCGTTAAGCATTCGCTCACATTCGATGGCCCTCAAAGTGCTTCTGCTCCCACAGGAGTGGTGCAGGTGATGAACGCACAGCTGGGACCGCAGTTGAACAAACACAGATGAAATATTGTTCTGCAGGCGCGTGTGTGTCAGGGCTGTTTGCTCTGTTAGGAACACTGCAGCACACCAGTCTTCTATTAACGTGAGTTCAAAGATCTGATGTAACTCATTTTATGTATAGATCAAAGAAGAAATCCAAAATATCTAAGCAGGTAGCTTGCAGTCAGGGAGAGCTTGTCTCTGAGGACCTGTGGCTGGGTCTGCTGAATATGAGGAGCTAAGGGAGGGTGGGACAGTCACCGGCAGATGGAAATCAAAGCTGCCGAATCTCCCCCAAGGAAAGAATTACCTGGATCAAAACAGCAGAGGTCAGGATGAGTGACCCTGACCTAGAGAAAAATAACGTATTCTCTGCTCAATATAAATTGGCCATAGTTACTATAATTCCCGTGCCTACATGGGAAGCGAGAGCCTCCATCTCAGTGGTGCGACCCCGGGAGATGAACGACATTCCCACTTCTCTATCCAAAGCTCTGCTCTAGTTTCTAAGACCTCCAGAAGTGTTTTCACCCCAGTGCAGAAAGCAGAGCTAATTGGCTTGACTCAGCAGGGGGTCTGCACTGAGGGTTTTTTTTTTTCGGCTGAAATTCTGAGTTATATGTTTCATGCCCCATGTGAACGTCCATCTTAGTTAATCACCTTCTTGAGAAAAGCAAACTGCTATGTAAGATTGCATTGCGCAGTTTTGATACTGGTGTAAAGAGTGTTCTAGATAAGACCATATGTTTTCTGTAATTTTTCTCAATTCAGAATTAGATGCGAAAGTCTACATCCTGGTTTTTTAAATGAAACAAATTATGATCAATGAACACCTCTCAGCATGCCTTTAAAGACCCCTAATAATTCTGGAATGTGTTCACATGCACATAATGTGACCCCTCCAATAAGTTGTTTCTATATTTCCTGAACTGAAGAAGTCTTTCAAAATACAGTATAATTTTATTATGTTAAATTAATATTGGAGAAATGTTACTGGCAAAATTCTGGTTTAATTATTTTTTAAAATATTATTATAGAATTTTTATTTTACTTAGGTGTTACCTTGGTTTGTGAGATATTTGTCCTGCATAAATAGCAAATAATATTTGCTGGTATAGACTGAGAACCCCTCAACGATTATGATTTTGTCAAAATGTTCATGTTTCACTGAAGAGACAAACATTTTTAAACCTTTTAATCAAAACCTCTGTAGAAGCATAACACCCTGATTTCTTTAGGCTTGTCTCCTTAACCATAAGAAATGGAGGCAAGCTTTTTGGAACTAAGACATCCTACTTACCTAATTTTAAAAACTACACATTTTTGTGTGATTGATTCAATTATTAATGCAATTTTAATAAATTTATTTTCCTAGAAAAACTTGAAAGTTGGATTAGGGATAGAATTAAAATTTTAAGTCAAGTGTGGTGACTAATGCCTATAATATTAACATTCCTAAGGCAGAGGCAGGAGAGTTACCATGAGTTTGAGGCCAGTCTAGGCTACAGAATAAGACCTTGTCTCAAAAATCAGCAAAAAAGTGTCGTAAATTTAATGTGCATAGATATTTATTGCTGTGTTTAACATCTCATTATAAAACATTATTCCAATCAAGTCTTCCAGAATAAACTGTATCTTTTACAGATTCTGCCAATTCTTCAAATGAGAGGATGTATTGGTCCATCTTCATGCTTTTCCTCCTTGATCCTACAGCTAACAGTTCCATACTCATAATTGAGAAAGTGGACTTTCATCCCATAGAAACTATGATTCTGGAAACCAGGAACACATTCCCAAAGGCATAAACCAACTTACACACTTACTTACCTTCTTTTCTTCTGGGCCTCCTCCTGTGCAGTCAAAACTACAGGACTGTGAGCAAAAACTCATAAAAATACATAAAGGCCAAAAGGAAATTGCACGTGTCTAAAGAAAATATTTGATTACTAGCAGAATTTTGTCCTGCTTCATATAAAAACAGATATCAGAAGATTTATGATTGAAGTCAGTTTGCCGTGTGAACAATATCCTCTGGCAACTTGAAACGCATTCTTGTCCATGTTGGACGATAATTCCGGTTTGCTGTAAGTGTGCATTTGGATAGCTCTATTGCTCCTTAAACATTTCTACAACGCAACTCTGAGTGTGTGTTTTCTTGGCGTATACATAGGCAAGCCTGTAACTCAACCAATGGCACTTCCCGCCAGTCCTGTGGCTTGGAAGACTTCCCACGTGCCACCTGATTTGATTCACATTGTACAATTCCTGCACTTTCTATCATTTCTATAATTCTGTTAAATTCAATGAAAATAAGAACAAAGCTAAACAGTGGACTAAAAATCTCAAGTGCTTGGTGAATACACAGACTAGACAGGTCTCTCTGAACTTGATCACTTTAAAAATCCGTGTGTTAATGAGGAAGGTCTGGAAACAAAAATCTACAACCCCAACAGAGACAGTACATGGACCTCTGGTCCACTGAGGATGCTTTAGATGCAGCATCTCTTTTGGAAACATGGTCTTTCTTTGCTGTTTTTTTTTTTTTTTTTTTTTCTCTCTAGGAGTTCTCAGCATGGAACAGGAATCAGGGGCCTGATCGCTATTGCTTTGCTTTGTTTTCCTTTAACATAACGAAATACAAGAAAGGAAAATTAAATGTAGAACTGTCAAAGACTGGGAAACAATTGACTGGGAAGTGGGTCTCAGGTGTGGGGACATGGCACTAACTGGAGAAAGCGTTCGGTGAGGGCTTCCCATCATACCACATAACACGTCCTGAAAAGCGGTGCGCCACTTACCACAGACTGGCCAGTCTCCCCTCCAGGCCTTAGACTCCAGCCATGTCTTCTGTCTGACTCCAGGAGCTGATTTTCTTGTCACCACAGACTTAGAAATTATAGCCTTCTCCTTCATTTTACCCCTCTTCCATACAACCCTCCAGTTCCAGTCTGTCTGTCCACTTAACAAAGGTTTTGTTGTTTGTTGAGGGTTTTGGTTGTTCGTTTTTTTGTTGTTGTTTTGTTTTGTTTTGCTTGTTTGTTTGTCTTTTTGGTGCTGTCGGGGGTTACTTTACTAAAAGCAAACAAAACATAAACTATTGTAGATTCGGGGATCCATTTTATATACAGAAAACTGTAGACAGTTCTGAAAATTTTATTTTGTGTGTGTGTTGGGGGGAGAAAAACCACCCTGCTGGGAACATAAAACAGTGCGGAGAACACATGGTAATGACCCTCATAATTGAGAATGTCATGGGTCTTATTAAAAGCCGTCATTTACCTCAACGTCTCTCTTGGTAAAGATGGTGAGATTTTGTACAAGCATGTTTTTCAAAGCCTTGCTGATCTACCTTCTTATGTATGTTGCTGCGCTGGGTCCTTCAAAGGGCTTCAAGGGTTACTTTTATATTTAAAAAGGCATGAAGATGAAAGCTGACATTTGAGTGCGGCTGTGCCTTCGGTGGCACCAAGATGCTTATTAGAACTGTTGTGATGAGACAGAGGGCGTGGCTCCTGCATGCCACTCTCTCCCCTGTGTGCTTAGGTGCTCTGGCTGCTGACTGGCCTAAGTGAATGCAGCCTACATTTAATAAGAGGACAATAAACTTTATTCTGTATGTTTAAGGTTTTGATTATTATTAGAGAGGGGATTTTTCTTGGTCCAGTTTATTTGTGATCTGTAAGCTTCTTGTACCTTCACAGGCATATCCTTCTTTAGGTGGAGCCCAGTTTTTTTTTTGTTTTTTGTGTTTTTTTTTGGATAGATACCTTGCTCAGCCTAAATATAGGGGGAAGGACCTTGGTCCTACCTCAAAATGATGTGTCAGACTTGGTTGACTCCCCTTAGTTGATGGGAAGCCTTACCCTCTTTGAGGAGTGGATGGGGGTTCAGGAGAGCAGAAGGAGGGGAGGGAATGGGAACTGGAGAAGTGTAAAGTGAGAAAAAATTGTTTTTTAAAAAATAAATTAATATAAAAATAGAAAAATAAAGGACAGTAAATAACATAAATTATAAAAAACATCTACCAATGAGAGCCAAAAAGGGGAGAAGAAAAAGGGAGGGAAGGAGGGAGGGAGGAAGGGAGGGAGAGAGAGAGAAAGAGAGAGAGAGAGACAGAGACAGAGAGTAAGTGAGTGAGTGAGTGAGTGAGTGAGACAGAACATGGTACATTGGGTCAAAACAGAGAGGAACAAACTCTGACAGGAAGAGAACAAAGTGTTTCCAGTGAGCTCAAAGAAATGACGTACCTTAATCACACAGTAATTTTAGGGTACAGTGAACCCACCTCTTTCTGTTCTTCAGAGGCCTGCACGTTCCTGTGGTTCCTACTGGGTTGCTATTGAACATAGAGACGCAGCCGCCTTTAGTCTTCTCCCTGGATTTCTTGGTCCTGTGTCCAGAGCCTAAGCAAACAAGAAAAGATTCTTTCATGAACTGAGGCCACATCTAGTCAATTAACCAAAGCTCTTTCTTGTTCTTTTATGGAGATGGCTTCCCATCCAACAGTCCCTAGGAATTGCTTACTTTTACCACCTTACATTTTGCCTTCTTTATGACTAGTTTTGCTACCAGAGATCCCTGAAGTTGTCAAATTCCACAAATATACCTTTTCCAGTAACAAGGGACCTCGGTAAAAGGTAAACTAATAATTTTGGCTACCTACTACCTATAAATTAATTATAAAGATTAATCTTCTCTGGAATGTATTTCCGATACACAGAAGTGTCTAAAATATTTTTAAAATGCTTCAATTAGTGAAATCTACCCTTTTTCTAAAATATCTTAAATATATTAGGTATATTTTTATGATCTCATTTCTCTGAAGAGATGCACTTACCTAGTGATATCATGCTATTTTTATCCTTCTTCAGCCTGTGATTATTGTTGAAGTTCTAAGTTCTCAGAAAAAAAGATATTGCAATTCAGTAATGTGATTTATTCTCTTAACTGGGCTAGAGGCAGACAAGTGAACATAATAGTGTTCCTTCCAATATTGATTTACAAAATCCTAGCAAATTAGAAAACAAAGGAAAGAAAATACCCCAACCTCTTCCCCGAAAAAAAATCACTGTTTCTTATTTCTGTTTGTTGATTTCATTGGTCATTATGTATTCTTATTTAAATATATTTTATTGCTTTTCTTCCAAAGCCTATGGCTGACTTTCTTCAAGTATTATCATTTTCATTTTTTATTTATTTATTTTTAATCTCACAGTCTATCTTTTTCCCAGGCTAGTCTGTTCTCACTGTTTCCTGGAGCTGAGCTCTGGGGCCTCTTGGTTGCAGTTAAAGAGGAGAGAATGACCCTGTGAGGAAAGGTACCAACCACTAGGCATGTCCTCCCAACAGAGGCTCTCTGGGGTGGGAGGGGGCTGAAGAGGTCTGTTTTCTGGTGGAAAGTTTCCTACGATGAGATTCTACCTCAGCCTATGTCACGGAGGTTGGTAGAGGTCACGGGAGAACAGAGAGAGTCACGACATAAGAGTAAACATGTGGTGCACACATTAAGAACATTTAAAGCAGACTTTACACTTCAGGCTGCAGAGGTGTTGGAATATTGTGAAAAGTGCACACACCCGTCAGTAAAGCAGTGTTCCCGATACAGAGCTCTGGACTGACTTATGTAAACAAATGCATGAAAGAGATGGAGCTGCTTAGTATGCGGTACATTTAAGCTTTTCAAACTGGAAATACCTCACATCCTTTGGCCGCACCACATAAATGTGCATTTAGAAGAGAAAGTTCCTTCCAACGATTGATCTCCAAAAGTTATCTACAACTTGCAAGGTCCTTTGTATCCTAGGCAGGGCGACTGAGCTGTCAGCTAAGGAAGGTTGCAGCATGACTGAACTGAGAATAAAAACCATGCTTCCAGCCAGACTGGTGTTTGTTTCCAACAAGCATACTGGCTGGGTGGAGGATTTCAATATCGTACATGAAGCATCACTTTTTCTACCTAATATTAGAAATATCTTCTTAAAATGCTAGTATCTCCCCACCGCTAGATTGGACATGATAGCTACAGTGTTCTGAAATGTGTATTTTTGTGAATGAAGAGTTTAGATAAAATATTTTAACAGTCATAAGGTTTGTCTAATAGTCTCATTATCCTCCATGATGCCTCTTTTGGGATTCTATAAATGTTCTGTAATATATCTCTCTCTCTCTCACTCTCTCTCTCTCTTCCCCCCCCCTTTGTCTCTCTGTCTCTGTCTCTCTCTCTTTTCCTCTTACTATGATGTTTCTGCAGGCTCAAGAAATTTAAGAATTGCAGGATCTTGGAAAAGGTACAGAAAATACAAAATGTGTTCATTTGTTTGCTGTTTAATTTATTGTACAACTTTTAAAAAAAATTCAAACATCCTCAGTGCAATTTCTTGGTCTATTACCCCTGACAGCAACTCTTCATTATATTTTAATCTGTGAAGGGTTCACCTTCCTAAGCATATTAATCTATGTTTTCTGCAAATACCGAACTCATTCTGAGCAGTGCCAGTGGGCATCCAGGCAGACTAGAAGGCAAGCATTATCTTTCTCAGGAGATAGCCTTTCTTTGTCTCCCCGTCCCGGCCTTTGCACCTACACACTCCCTGGCATGAACCGGAGGCCAAGCAGATGGCCTTCGCTGTGGAAGCTAGGGCCCTGGGCCCACCCGATGAAACCTGCATGCTTGGCAAGGCGGGCACGCCAAGGTTTCATCTCTAATAAAGTACTCGCTGCCTCTCCAGTAATGATATCCTGGGGCTGCTGGGAGGAGATTCTTTTCACAGGAAACATACTCATAAGAATTTAATGCTATCTTGCTAAACCCTTTGATTCAATAAGGCTTTAATTAAAAAACAAATTCCCTCTTGCTTTGTAGACCCGGTGATGTGAGCAAGCGTGGATTTCTCCTTACCCAAAGTCGTCTATGATCAATATCTCCTTACTAAGCTTTACATTCTCCTACCTTCTTAACCACGTGCTTAAACAAATACAACATCTTACGATTGGATGTCGTTTATACAAATTGAAACACTTTTTAGGTCAAATAACATTTGTTAGGCTTTGATGCAATCCAGTGAAATTTCAGTCTTCAGAGAGACTCAGTCCCGCCTCTTGGAGGCCGCACATATGTGTCAGCTTTCAGTTTTTCTCACCAGTGTTTTACACATGAAATCTATTTTCCTTGAGAAAATGGAATCTTTGTGTCTTTGTCTGGAAGGCGCGCTGTGCTCAGGCGTGTTCTGGCAGGAGCAGGGACTGCCAAGGCCCTGGGGGAGGGGCCTGGCAGTCATTTGTCTGCAGTCCTGCATCTGTAATTTCTGGCCACTCAGCACTATCAGAGGGTCTTAGAAAGGGGGCCCGGAGGGTGGGGGAAGGAGCTTGTCACTGATGAAAGCCAAACCCCGAATAACTGCCTGACGTTGATGACCGAAGGGAAGGGGAGAGTATGAAAAACTTTTATTGTGCTTTTTGAAAATGGCTAATTTCTGAAATTGCACAGGGTAACATTTTCAGACCTCAGTCTAGAAAGGTCCTGTCCATATTCGATTACCAATTTCAAGGCTTTTACCACGGCAAGAACTCAAGCAAGTATTTTAATTTTCCTCTGGTAGCTTCTGGTTATTTCTGTTCTTACTCCCTTGTACCAAAACTGACAGCACAATTAAACATCTGCATTTTAAAATTGGATTTTCTCCCCTGACTATTTTGCTTTGTCTCTAAAATTTCCAGATGTTTTGGGTTCTTTATGATTTTAATGTATGCAAATATATTTGCTCATATTTTAGAGAGGGGGGGAAAAAGGGGAGGTGGGACACCCACACCCACACACCAAGGGGTAGGGGAGCGTATATAGAAACAGACTAGATGGACTATCCAGATGTTTCTACAAGAAAGCTTTGTAACACGTCAAGCATCAGGCAGCGTTTTTCCTCTTTGTAGGTTTACACTAGAATACAATTTTTCTCTTAGCACTTTACTATTTCAGTTGAATTTTGAAACTCATTTGAGTGAGCAGAGTTCAGAATTCACATGATTCATCTGAAGACGACCAAAGCTCAGAGTCTCATAACTGGGTAGAAGTTGTTTCTATCTTTTCAGTCTTTTCATTTCAGTAAGAGATCAGTAGTGGTACAGCAGAAGAGGAAACAAATGTGTTTCAACTGAGCCTGCTGCTGTGTAGACACAGTAAAGGGCTGGTGGGTACCTTCTCTGAAGTGTCTGAACAAGAATTAAAAGAGTATCCCTGACATTTTTAGAAAATCTGTTTCCCATAATTAACAGGAAGCTGGTAAACAGACTCTTGCCTACAAGTAAGTCCCAAACAGCTACATTAAAAGAAACTGGGAAAGAAGCAACTGCAGTGTGTGCTACCCAAGTGGTTCAGCACAGAAGTACTTTGAGATGTGCACTCACATAATCCTTGGGAGCTACTGAGTGTTCATTTTCCATCCCTGTCTGTTCAAACACTTACTTGGCCTGTGCAGCCATTTCTCCTACAGTATAATGTCTGCAAGTGATATCAGGAAACTAACATCGTTAATAGTTAGGCAAAAAAAAAATGACATGTAATTATGGAGGAAGGCAATATATTTTAAAAGTACTATTTTGCGATTCTTAAGGTCCATCCTTACTGTACCTTTTTGGAAATGGTGATACCAAGTAAGGGAATTTATGTCCATGTAAAGTGTTTAGGGAAGTGAGTGAGTAGATTTGAGAGTCTTGAACTAAATGCATCATTAATTAGACAGATAGCAGGGCAGGGCGATTGACCCACTTCTGCTCAGCGCTCTGGGCTAAGCGCTCTGAGAATTGACAGGTCTTTATCCTCTAATTGTATCAAAAATGGGGACTGTCTCATCCCAGTCATGACCTCGAAAGCAGCAAACCGAAGTGATGCATGACGACCCTCGTCTAAGGAAATGTGAAATTCAACCTCAAAGTCTGAAGTTTCAGAAACAGAATTAGCTCTTTACTTTATATTTAATTTTTGGACTGAAGTGTTTCATCCCGTAAGCAAAAAAATTTTAAAAAACTAAACCTTGGAAGAGAAAGGTGACTGGGCTAAAAATGTTAACAACGAGGCTCAGCTCTATTCAAGACATATTTCTGATTTTGAAAAGTGAGCAGGAGAATAAGCAGCATTATCAAAAATAAGGGGCATCTTCATTGACTAAGTCATGCATTGCAAGTGGAAAATGCATTTTGGCTATTCTGTCACAGCAGAAACACATCTCCGTGGATCTATGGAGATGTAGCCATGTGTGGGCTGCTCTCGGTAAACCAGGCCTTAGCTCCAGGAAGATGAACTAGACCAGGTTCGGCAAGGCAGGACATGTGTAATGCATATGCACGTAGCTGAGACTGGAATTCAAAACCTTGTTATCTTAGCTAAACCTTCAGTAATTATATAAGTGAG